TAACAAAAAAAGGGGATACAGATGAATGTCCATTTTGTATCTGTGTATTCAAAATGGTTAGGATAGATATATAGTCACATTCTCTTGATGAATAGAGGGATTTGTTCTAATGGTGTTTGTAAATAGGATATCAAGTCCGCATCTTGTACAGCAATTAACCACTAGGAAGAATGTATGCAATGTGTGAATTATTGAAACTGTCCTATCGATTTGGTTTGAAACTGTCTCATTGCTATTTGTTTCTCAATAAAATTATGGAAAAAAAAAAGATAATGAACAATGTTCTACTCAGAGCCAAAATAGAAGCTGGAGTGCTTTAAAAGTCTGATTCTGTGTGTTGACATTTCTTAGTGACATACGGCCTTAGAAGGGGCACACAGGCCGACAGGCATGGATGAATAATCCCAGTTTGCTCACTTCTCAGGCCTGGCCTGAGGAGCTCTGCCCTGCTGACACTGATCTGTGATGCTGGTCAGCCTCGAACCGCAGGCAGTGATCACTGGGTTTAAGTGTATCTGCACACAGGTTAAGGTGGCAAATCTTGTGAGTGCTAGTAAATGTGAAGAGTTAAAAAAAAAAAAAAAAAAATTAGCCGCTCCTGAGATTGGGAGCTTCATTACTTTTGAGTCTCACACATGTCAACAGTGTAGTGATAAAAACTGTTCTCTTTATTTTTCCCCTTTAAAGAATCATTTTATTCAAGACTGCAATGGCATAAAACACACTAAGACATATTCATAATTTTAAAAATCATTTAAAAACACTACACTGTGCTGTGGCCAGCAGAGGCATTTTGTTGCTCACCAAGTCAAACTGAAGCTAAAGGCTTGGGAAGGCGAGGGTTTGTATCCCTGCACTGCAGCGTGGAACCTCTCAGCAGCCTGCAGGGCAGGAGCTGCTTAATTTAACTGCTGTATGCTGCATCAGCACTTGCAAGAAAGCCCTGACGCTAGGATGGCATAACTTAAAAAGATGTTTAAAAATAAAATTTTATTCAAATGTTTAAACATACAAACCAGCAAAAGAAACAAATGAACATGAGTGAATTTTGAGTACACTGCAGGGGAGGGGGTGGGGGGAAGAGACCAGAGCTTTAACAGGTGCTTCTGTTTTTTTTTTTTTTAATTTATTTATATATTTATTGTGTGTGTGCGTGGGTGTGTGTGTGTGTGTGTGTGTGTGGCCAGCTCAGCCCACCAGGGGGTGGGCTGGCTGGCATGTGGTGCTGGGGATTGAACCGCGGTCCCTGTGCTTTGCTTAGCTTGTTCTAAGTAGGTGCTTTAGACCTCTGAGCCATCTCACCAGCCCCTAACAGGTGCTTCTGAAGACCGGTTCTAAATGAAAAAGCACATCCTTCACAAATAATGCTTTTGCCTAATACAGTGCTGAGGATAAGGAAGCTGTCTTTGCTACCCTTTTCCCACAAAAGATTGCTTATCACTGGCTCATCCAGGGCTTCCTCACAAACAGGTAAGCTCACCAACCAACATTCTTGCCCATTTCGCAAATTCCAAGGCCATGTCTCTAGCTTTCTTTTCTCCCCAGCCTCCACATTCCTTCATGTTAGCCATACAAAGTACTCTGCTTTAAGAGAAGCAGACAGACTAAGATGTGA